AACCTAATGATAAAAATCACCCTCAAATTTAAACAAAAGCAAGAAAAACAAGAGGACATAAAATAGGCAAAACAAGGAAAAACAGTGCAATACTTAAATCCCGACTGGTCAGTAACTATTGAATGGAAAGGACTAGCGTTTATAATTATCAGACTAATACTGAGAATGGGACTTAAAAGCTACAACCTAGCAATCACATTGTTTGGAAGAGATGCATTTCATAAGGGTACTGAAAGATTTAAAGTAAAAGCACCCAAATGATTATCAAAAAAGCTGTTTATATTAACAGTATCAGACAAAATAGTTGTTAAGGCAAAAAAAAAAAATCATTGCTAGAGTAAAGAGGAGCATTTCATGAAGCTGAAAGTTGCACTGAAGAGAGATTCTGAATTTATAAGCTCTTATAACATGGCATAAAAAATACAGTCAGGATGGGCCAGGGATTTAGCTCAGTAGTTCCTGCCTGCCTCACAAGTGCAAGGTCCTGAGTTTGATCCCCCGTACCAACAAAACACAAAAATACAGCCAAATTGACAGATCTATGGGGAGACTACACAGTGTGAGGTTTTATGTCTTTCTAAAAACAGATATAAAAAGCAGGTGAAAGATCAGTAAGGCCAAGAAAATGGGAACTCTATGCCTCAGGATTAAGAGGTCTGTCCTGGAATGGGATCAGCACATAACAAACAGCTCAGTTTCGAGGCAAAGTTCTCTTGCCCCTGTACCATGTGAGGACACGGCAGCAAGGTGTCTTCCTGGGGGCTGAGAAGGAACAGTCCAGCCTCTACAACTCAGGAACAGATTTTTATTCTTTATAAATGACCCAGGCTCAGGGATTTTGTTATAGCAGCACTACAGGATGAAGACGAAAAGATTCTATTAAGGGAGTAAAGAACCTTGGAAGTGATGAATACGCTCATTAAGTGTAATTCATTGTATTCTAATTATGTCTAAAAAGCTGATGAGAAAACGATGATCCAGAACAAATGTGTGTAGGGTGACTCCTTTATCTAAACAATAGGGCGAACATGCAAAGCAACAGTGTTGATGTGAGCATAAAAATTCTGGCTCAGACAGCAGTTGAATACCCAATCCAAACATGTTCATGTTTTTATTCTTAAAGTTTTAATGCACTGTGGCTGCAGATTATATAGCTTAGGCCTGTAAAATATCTTAGGTTCTGTGAATGTGGGTGCTTAGGTCCATTCATAAAAAGTTTTATTAATGCCGTTAAATATTTTCACTTTTTGTAGAGTGATTACACTGAAAAAATACAGACAAAATCACACAGATGAGAGGAACAGGGTTTCTCAGTGTTATGGTTTGGGTCTAGATGTCCCGCTGAGCCTCATGCAGTCCTGGGGCTTTTTGAGAGGTGGCTGGGTCTAGAGTGTGTGATGCTGGGATTAAGGGTGTGTGATTACTAAATCATCCCGCTGATTGGTGGGGCACCACCCTAATCCCAGTATTTTGGGTAAAATAAAAGGGACAGAAAGATGCTGTTAAGGTTCTCTGTTTGCTTTGCTACTTTTGGTCTTCCATGAACTGCTGCCCCTCTGCCGTGCCACCCTGCCTTGGAGCCAGCTGAGTATGAGCTGAAGCCTCTACAAACTGTGAACCAAATAAACATTTCCCCTTTTCACTTTAGGTGTCCGGTATTTTTGTCTCTGCAACGAGAAGAGTAACTAAGACACTTAGTATAGTTAGAGAAGGAAATGGGTCCTATCTCGAGGGTGGACGGAGAGAAGTCTGTTGGGTTCCTAGATGGAGGCAATGGGCATTGTGGTGCAGACAGCTGCACTCCACATTTGTCTGACTAAGCCAACCAGGCTGCAGTCGATCACTGCTTTCTGCATTAGTCCGCAGGAGAGAAGGTTCTGACCACCGGAGTGACCTTCAAACCCGCAAACTGCCTTGCTGTGCCTGGGGCTTCCCACGTCCCCCCTGCCTGCTGGAAGGCAGGGCGGGGTGGCTTGAGGCTATCTTGGGTCAAGGGCGTGCTATTCCCGGAGCTTCACTGTTCAAAGTTGTGGGTCGCGTCTCCAAGGGCTCCATGTGCTCTGGGGACTTGAAGCAGGGAAAAAGCATACCTAAAAGGAAAGAGGATTTCAAGTACTGGCTGAGGCACCAGAAAATCCACATGGCAAAGCCTTGATCTTTAAACTGCTTGCTGGTCATGTTCTGTTCGCACATCTCATCCATTCTCTCAGCTCGTGTTTATGGAGTCCTTCTCCACAGTCCCAGACGGCTGTGATTTTAAGTCTGCGCCCAGTGGTTGAGCATCTGATAGCACTGTCAAATGTGTCAGGGAATTCAGTTTTACCCCCATGTATATGCTCCATTCTCCCGTTATCTGCTGTGTGCATTAAGCTTGATAAAATACTTCTTGAGAACTGGAATTATATTACACCATCAAACAGTTTCATTCAAACCTCTTTCATTTGTAGGTTGAGTTACTGACAATGTCTCGTGCTTTGTGGACGGTGTGGCTGCTGGGGCTCGTGATCCGCCCTTCCAAGGAAGGGTCCCTCGGTCGGGCTTCTCTGTCTTGTGACCCAGCTGGTGTCTGTGACGGCCGTTCCCGGTCTTTCACCTCCGTTCCCTCAGGGCTGTCGGCATCTGTGAAAAGCCTCGATCTGTCCAACAACAGGATCACCTCTGTGGGCCGCAGGGATCTGCACAGATGTGTGAACCTCAAGACTCTGGTGCTGAAGTCCAGTGGAATTCACACAATAGAGGGAGATGCCTTTCTCTCCCTGGGCAGGCTTGAGCATTTGGACTTATCCAAAAATCACTTGTCTGAGTTATCATCCTTGTGGTTCAGGCCCCTTTCCTCCTTGAAATTCTTAAACTTACTGGAAAATCCTTACCAAACACTGGGAGAAATGTCTCTTTTTTCTCACCTCTCAAATCTACGAATCTTGAGGGTAGGGAATGGCGCCTTCATAGGGATGCAGAAAATAGACTTTGCTGGACTCACCTTGCTGGAGGAACTTGAGATCGAGGCGTCAAATATCCAGAGTTATGAGCCACAAAGTCTGAAGTCAATTCAGAGCATCGGCCATCTGATCCTTCACATGCGGGAGCCCCTTTTCCTGATGGAGGTTTTTGTGGATATTTTAGGTTCTGTGGAACACATGGGGCTGAGTGGTACCAATCTGAATGAGTTCAGCTTTTCAGATCTGTCTGTCAGCGTTACAAATTCAAGTATTAAAAAGCTTACATTCAGGAATGTGAAATTTGCTGATGGAAGCTTTAATGATGTTCTGAGACTTTCAGGGTATGTCCCTGAGTTGTTGGAGGTAGAATTTGAGGACTGCATTTATAATGGAATTGGGAATTTCGGGGTCTCTGGGATAGAGGAAGTGTATCCAGGAAAAGCAGACACAATAACAATTCGGAGGCTATATATACCGAATTTCTACTTATTTTATGATCTCAGTGATATGTATTCACTCGCAGAGAGATTTAAACGAATCACGCTAGAAAACAGTAAGGTGTTTTTGGTTCCTTGTTCACTTTCGCGACATTTGAAATCATTAGAATACTTGGATCTCAGTGAAAATTTGATGGTTGAAGAAAATTTGGGAAACGCAGCCTGTGAGGGTGGCTGGCCGTCCTTACAGACCTTAGTCTTAAGGAAAAATCATTTCACATCAATAGAAAAAACCGGAGAGGTTCTGCTGACTCTGCACAACCTAACCAGCCTCGATATCAGTAAGAACAGTTTTCATTCTATGCCTGAGATTTGTCAGTGGCCAGAAAAGATGAGCTATTTGAATCTATCCAGCACACAAATACACCGCTTAACCAGCTGCATTCCCCAGACCCTGGAAATCTTAGATGTTAGCAATAATGATCTCAGTTCCCTTTCTTTGTTTTTGCCTCGACTTCAAGAACTTTACATTTCTAGAAATAAGTTGAAGACCCTCCCAGAGGGCTCCAGGTTGCCCGCCTTGCGAGTCTTGAAGATCCGCAGGAATATGATAAATACTTTCTCCAAGGAGGAACTGGACTCCTTCCACGGCCTGCAGGCCTTGGAAGCCGGGGGCAACAGTTTCATCTGCTCCTGTGATTTCCTGAGCCTCGCGTGGGAGCGGCGGGGGCTGCCCGAGGTCCTGAGCGACTGGCCCGCGGGCTACCGCTGCGACTCCCCGTCCCACCTGCGCG